TATAAAAATAGACATACCGACACATGGGGAAGAGGTCGATGACTGTTAACTCTCCCCATATGGAGATAGTCGCATGTTCGAAGCATCACAATCTAAGAATCGAAGCTACCCTGTTATTAATGATCGTAAAGAAAAAAAAGAATTAATGCGTTCTATCTGTCTGTCCGTTCGTAGTGTGTGTGTAGAGCAACTGAAAGACGTCCAGGATGGGCGAATCGTTTGATTTTCTCATGACTTTTCTATGTTTTTTAAACGCAAAATTAACTAGAAATCGGTTATACAACTCTATTTTTAAATTTTTAAAAGGAATTTTCCAGAGAATTAATTTTGAAATTGATAAAATTTCGATCGACTCTTCTAGTCTTTCGCTCTTGTTTCCTCTAACTTTGTATAATTTATACAATTTTAAACTCATAAATATTAAATTTCTACTGAAAATACATTAAAAAATAAGTATTTTACAGATAAAAGTATGCAAAATTTAAAATGTCACGCAAATTTATTTATCAGTAAATGGCATTGATAAAATGAGTTTGTTGATTTTCTCTCCCCCATTTTATTTTTTTCTTAATGGCGCGTCGCAACCGAGTGGTTCTAACATTAAAAAAAAAAAATTGCATTATCTTCCATAAATTCTCATTTAGTAAACGTTGTTTGTCTATAAACCAATAAATTTCGGCATTTTTCTTAAACAGTTTAATTAAAAAACTCATAAAAACCAATCGATTTCGGTAATTTAAAAAAAATAATAATAATCAAAGGACATAACGCGACGCGACGCAACTCCTATACAGCTATTTAATTATTAAAATTTAAAAAATAAAATATATTTAAAATCGTAAATTAAATACTAAATTTTTAATTGTATATATATAAAGTTTCGTCTTAAATTGTTATATATATATATATATTTTTTAATCCTTTATAATTTTAATTATTTAATTGCTCCTTCCTCTCTTCCTTGGCATGTTGGGAAATTTCTGATAGTTAGATAATAAACCGTTTTATTGTAATTTGTCTTTTTAAATTATTTCGAGTCGATATTAAAATTTGAAAAAGGGCGATACCTAGATCGGTAAAATAGGCGAATTTCTTCCTACAACTTCGGTCGTTGTTCGGGGTACAGTTAAGATTTTAACGAAGTTCGAGCGAAAACATAATTAGCAAAAAAAGTCGAAATAAAGTGATTAAACAAAAATGATTACAAATATCGTAAATAACAGTTCACAAATGCATATATAGAGACANTTAAAAATGATTAAAATTTAGCTTTTTTGTGTCAAATTATTATATATATATATATATATATTTTTTTTTTATTTATTTATACGTTTTATTAGCTATTTTATATTCACTAACAAACAAAATTGGATTATAGTACTCCCTCACATACATCATTTACATAACTGAAAAAAAGAAATTCTTAAGAAGAAGAGTTAGATCAATCTAACTCACTTTAAAAAAAAAATTATATATTAATGGAAAATAATGTTTATTTTTTTTAATAATGTACTTTTAAATGTGTTGTTTGTGTGCTGTGTGTTGTGTATATTTTAAGTAGGAACTTACAATGATAAAAAGTAAGTTATTCTAAACATAAACAAAGAAACTTATTCGAAATTTAGTATAAGAATGGCACATAAGTCTATTAAAATATCGGATATTTTCTCGACCGTATCTAATCTAGATATACAAATATTCGCCGTGAAAAATATTCACTCGAATTGTTGTATGTGCAATTAAAATTAAATCAATTTATTTCGTTTATATAGAAAAGCTTTTATGGATACTTGCCAACTTTTACGTCATTATAGGATTTTTGTTCTAGTGTATCTTTGTTCTATCCAGCTATTTTGACATTTTATCGAATTATATATTTAGAAAAAATTACAATTTTGATGCTGTTAAAATCGAATAAATAAACAATTTTTTTTTTTAAAAGTTATTATTTTTTCCTTCTTTTATTAATTGCCAATAATATCATTTTATATTTTGTAGCTTTATATATAATAAAAATAACCAAATTTTTTAAAAAAAATTATATTAACCAGAACTAGGCCCGGATTCTCTTAGCTTTAGGTCCTAAATTAAGGGCCTAAAGCTAGGAGATAAAGCCTAGTATTTGAATTAGTGTAACTATAACTGATAGAGGACGTCTGACATGCACATTTTCAGGCCTTCTCAGGCATGAGAACGTGTTTGTCTGAGTGTATGAGAAGGTCTGTTAAAATAAACTCTTAGATATTATATACACACCTAATATAAGTACGTTTCACATTCAATATTTTCCCTGTACTTATTTGATTTTTTTTATTTACTTATAAAGGTAAGAGGGGAATAGAGACACAGCCTCTCTTACCTGAAACTACGAGATATAGATTAGGGCATGAAGTAATAGGATACAGTTAGTACCTCACGCTTTTAAATATACAGTATTATTGTTAAGGCCTTTTATATATCATAGTTTATGGCCCGACCCTGATCAGAATCGTAATTAATATCATGGATTAAATGTTGGGACTTGTTTTAAATTTATAAAAAATATATTTTTTGTACATTTCATATTTGGCACTTCATAATCAGCTAGCGGCATGGAGTAGGATGCCGACTAAACCTACTAAAAACGGAAATTTTTTTTTATCTCGATTGCTAAATAGAGGAAATTCCCACTCTACTTTAAAAATTTACAATCAGTAACATCTCTACTGATATTGATTAGTCAATCATTATAGCGATTTTCCTAACCACACACAACCCGACAAAGTTCAAGCACGAAGCCGCCATCTAAGTGCATTAGCACCAATTTTAAGGCATTTAACAGGCAAATTTTACTGTAATTAAGCGGATGAATATTTAAAAAATGCTTAAAATATAACAAGAATCGAAAGTAAAGTGTTATTGACCTTAAGTAAATAAGTTAAAATTGACAATCAATATTTTCTGTATCAGCATAGCAGAGTCGATGATTTTTCTACCCCATTATAGAGCCTATAAATGTTCTTTTTTTGACTTTTATTCGATTTATCGAGCTTCGTAACTAACATAATATAATTATAGAAGCATTAAAAATTAAATATACCAGTGATTAATGTTCTACTTTCTTAAGCTTAACGTTATGAAGATGGAAATTTAAATTAGGGCAAACGTAGATGAGAGTTTTACAGGGATTATTACAACGTTTTTTTTTTTAAAAAAAAAAGAGAAAGTAACGCGATTTTTCATTGGTTTGTGGATAAATTTTAAAAATTCCTTTCCGCAGTATTCGCTAATGATCGTCGAAGATTATAAAGTTACACGAAATTTTTCCCTTTACGCAAATTAGAAATGGTTCATCAATTTGATTTACTTCTTCTTTGCTCGTGCTGAATATATTCTAAAATTTTTAATTAATTCATCTTTATAAACGTATAAGTACGCGATTTAGAAAATTTTTCTATTTTCTGACATAAATGAAAAATCTAGATACTATTAAGGCCTTCGGAAGCTTGGTATTGGGCCCATTTTACACTTAGATCCCTTTTTTCCCCCTTATTACCAGGCCCTTTTTTGCCTATTTTTAAACAAATGATATGTCTAGAACGTTTCTTCATTAATAAAAAGCAGTCTTAAATATTTTTAAGTAAAAATAACATTAATTTATAGAGGTATTAGCGAGGTTTTCATCTCTTTCTTTCATCTCTCAAACGTGAACGTCGAACGTCGAGCGCCGCTATCTTGTAAGCGGCGCTCGACGTTCGGCGTTCACGTTTGAGAAATGAAAACTTCGGCCGCAACCTCTCTATTAGCTACTGTTCGGGCTTTTTTTTCTGAACTTGGGGAAAATTTCCAAGTTTTATCTCTCTCGGTTGCTCTTGGTATGTTATTTTTATTGAAAAACGTTGGTTTTTGCGTGTCTGTCCGTCACGATGTCTGTGAAGAATTTATATCTTAATCTGCCGTGAGTAAGAATATGAAATTTTTAGTAAATTTAAACCAACTTACTTCGTTTTATCTGAAATTTTATAAAATGAAAATATAATTAATTTTACTAAAATGATAACGCAGTTTTAGGCATAAGCAATCTGGGAGTTGAGCACGTTGCCTTGTATATTCAAAATGAATTTAATACACCTGGATAAGCAAACCAATAACGAAAAATTTCATTTAAAACGGGCTACGTTATTGGTTTGCTTATCTAACTGTATTAAAATCGCTTTGCTTAGGATCTCACGCTTTTAGAAGCATATTACATCTTTCGTATAGGGTTGCCATATGTCCCGGTTTTTTCCGATTGCCATCTATCGACAGAACTTTATTCTAAAAACTTTTACTACAATAAAGTATCTTTTAAGTGTATTTATGTCGCTGGCAGAGTCAAAATGCATGTCTATAAAATTGAAGAATTTAGTATTTTTCGGGAAGAACCCGAATTTTATCTCCAAGTTACTAGCAACTCTAGTTTTGTACGAATATGTAAATACAGTATATTATATGCCATAAATGGACGCCATTTTGTATTTCGTATATTAAGCATAAAATATTTTGTTTATAAATTTAAACCAGGCATTTAAACGGGGTCGATACAGACATCCCCCGGAGGTTAATGGAATTTTGAAAGGGGTCGATGGAACTCAATGGGGTGGATGTTAATTTTCAAAGTAAAACTGTGGGAAATTCGTTAACTGATTTAATAATTTATTTATTACGTAAAATCTTGGAAAATAACATAAAAATTTTAAGAGGTGGATTGAAACAAATATATGGGGGAGGGTCATTGCAGGAAAAAGGTTAGTAACTCCCGATTTAAACATGTATACGAAACAAAATGGCGTATATTTAATGTTTTCTCTAGTGTTAAAACATTTTAAAGACGTGTACTCATCAGCTTAGCTAGTTAAAACACACACACATAAAAAAAAGTATATCGATTCGTGTCACACTTTTTAATTTTTTTAAAAAATTTAATAATTAATTTTATATAAAAAACAGTTTTATTAAAAAAATCGATAATTGTTTTTCAGCTGTCCAGTCGATCTGAGTATTTCTGATAAAGTATACGTCGATGATCAAAGCAGAACAACTGGTGACTTTTATCTTTATATACCATTTCGTGTATTTAGATTTCTGGATGGAGTCCGAGTTGCATTCACTTGTAACGTTGTCATTTGTCAAGATGATTGTCCCGAGGTAAATATGAAATTTATTATATTCTATTTATATCAATATATTTTTTAAAAATATATATAAATTACTATAACTTCAACCTATGCCAATTTCTTTTATCTCAACATTTTCGTCTGCATTTTTTTTTTCTGACGTGTTACTTGGGAAATAATCTATAACTTTTGCTATTTTTATACTAAAAATATATAATACTATTCTTGAAAATAAAAACTATGTCTATTTTTTTTTTTTAAATAAAAATTATTATAATTTTTGTCTAAGGAAAATAACTTAGTAGCATATTGACGACTTTATTTTCAATAGAAAAAATTATTTTATATTATAAAATAGTTTAATAATTTATTTTCTGGTTATTTAATTAACTCCTGTAATAATAATAGTAATAGTTATGAATCAATTAAACAAGTAAATTGTCAGAAATAATATATTTTTATTGATGATTCTCTGCGCTTTGAAAGCTTAAGTGCTGTTGCTATCATTAGCAGCAGCCCTTAAGCTTTCAAAGATTATTTGCATTAATGGCAGCTTTAAGTTCTAGGAGGATGCAGCAAGCGTATTTACAGTAAAAATAAATAAATAAATAAAACGTTTGTCGTAGGTTCTCTATCCATACCAAATGCAAAAGCCTATATAACCGCGATTGATCTGCACATGTTCTATAAGCAGGCCAATTAATCGAGAGGGGAAACTGGGGATTTATCCCAGGAAATTAGGAGGCCTTAATAGATCCTATATGTATAAATTAGTGTTATTTTAACTAGAAAAAGTAAAATTGTTTAACACTGCTTTTAATTAATAAAGGGACATTTTACGTGTTTTATTTGTTCATAAAAAAAAGGGGGACACAATCTAAACCGGTCCGTAAACAAGCTCTCAATGGTCCTGCTATTGTTATTCAAATTAATATTTATATTAAACAACTGTGATTATATTTTAATAAAATTCTATCGAAAATAACGAAAACATAAAAGTGTTTACACAAATATCATATTTAAATCCTGTAAATTTTAATTCTTATTATGATTATTTATTGTTTAAATGTAAAATATTTTCAGCTAAAAATAAACATAAATAGAAATAAAAATTTTCCAACCACTGCTATTCAACTCTTTTATATTCTTTACATAAACATGAGCTGGAAAATTCTAAATTTTTCAACCGAAAATATTCACAACAAATCTAAATTTTATTTCTTTTTTTTTTCGAATTCCCAAAAAATCTGCTTAGTTAAAAAAAATCAACGATATACAAGTTATTATTATACTTTTATACAGACATTTTTTCTCCATATGAAAGTGTATAATAATCAAAATTACAACTTACTTAAACCCTGAATATTTACTAGCATTTTGCAATTTACCACAGGATTCTATAGCCTATTCCCACCTCATAATCTGATAAAAGAAAAAAATAATAATAATAAAAAATTATTTATCTATAAGTTTAAAAAATAATTCGTGTAGCGCTTCTTAATAACTTGAAATGGTTCCAAGTCAGGCCATTTTACGAGCCATCTCATAAACTTTCACAATGAATATTTATCTGATACGTTACAAAAGAATACATTATCCACATAATTTGAGATTGTTAATACTTTAAAAACCTCATTTAGAAATTAAGCAATGATTTAATTAAGAGATCTAAAGGTACGTTTATCAGTTAAGAGTACATTTATTGTATAAAAAAAATGATGTTTTCTCTCTCTCTCTCTCTCTCTTGTGTTTAATCTAGGCTGATTGCGGAGAGTTTAGTGGAATGTCCTATGGGAGGAAACGAAGATCTATCTCTCAACCACCCTTATATACCATGACTGTCAGCAATGAAGTGACTGTTGTGGACAGTACAGGAAGTATACCTCATCCCCCTGGTAAGTATATAATATATTAGAAAATTTTACATGTTTTAAACTCAAAAAAAATACTTTCAATCGTCTCATAATTATGCTTTAAACGTGCCAAAATTATCGGTAAAATAATTAAAATCTCCTCCAAACCGATAACTCTACAAGTTTAAAAAAAATGAAAGAAATATTAATATAAACATTAATTAATAATAAAAATAAAAAAAATAACATAATAAGATATTATCGAGTAATTTAGGAAATAAATTGTTCTTCTAATTGTTGAAATTCTACAAGAAAAAAAAACAATTTAATTTTTTTTATTTAAATATAAATTCAAATAAAATTCTAAATTATGATTCTGATAATCGCAAATTTTTTCTTTAGGTAAAAGCTAGTCTTTGAATGTGAATAAAACTAATATTTATTTTAAAAAATTAAAAGAAAAATGTATGTAATTTATAAAATAGATCTATAAAAATAAATAAAATAAACACATTAAATTATAGATTATCGTTTAAGAACATATATTTTACTGTTCTTTCGCAAAGTAATTGTTTTTCGTATTGTGAAAACCGAAAAAAAGTTCAGCCATTAAAGTAAGAGTAGATTCTAAACCGTCTATAACATGAAAAAAAAATTTACCTCATAAGTAAATAATTATTTAATTAACAAAAATGTATTGTGGAGATGATAGAGAACGTGTTAAAACCTCAATGGCGTACAAGAAAACAGAAATCTATGACCTAATTTCATACAAAAAGTTTTCAAAAAGAAATCAGATATTTAGACCTCTTATCCCTGTAATAACTATTATACTTTACATCTCTCCATGATCTATATAAATTACGTCCGAAACATTGTGGTATTGATTCTAAAACTCATAATAAACCTTTAATGGTAGCAAGATTTCTAAGATAACAAATGACTGCAGCTTAACGAAAAAGATGCAGAAGTCATTAAGCAACTACACTAATCTCAATCTACCGATACACCTAGAATAATAATTTTAATATTTATAACAAAGAATTAAAAAATATATATTTTTTTTTTTACTGATTATTTATCTTATACATTACAGAAGAGGTCAAGCCTACGTCTTCGTCTCTAACGGATACAAAATCCAGATTTTCCATACCCTGGTTGATCGGAAGTGCTGCAGTTATAACTTCTTTCGTCATTTCTGTGACTGTAAACATTTATCTATTAATAGCACAGAGGAGACATTCGCGTAATACTTCATGCGATTGTCACCAGATGGACATAGTAGAACGAGAACACAAAGAAATCGAATTAATGTATCCATCGGTCCCTTTCAAAAGATAATTTTTAAAGATAATTAAAATGTATTTTAGTGGGTTTATTAATAAAAAAAACAACTTTTTTTTGTATTATTTTCTACCTATAATTCTGCTTTTGAATTATATACATGACTCATTATTCAATATACACAATAAAACAGTATAGATTTTATATTACAACGCGATTATTTCATACTAAATTGTAATTTTTTCTTAACAAATTCGACAGATTCGAGTAAGTAAACTATTTTTATTCGGCTTCGATTTATTTTATTTTCGAATAAACCTTGTGTTTTTACCATATTTAGGGAGGCCACCTGGGAAACTGAAAACCAGTTTGAATGAGACGGTTACCAAGAAAAAAAAAATGAAATCAAAATGTCTTCTATGTAGATGACCACACCACTTACCGATACAGTCTACAAGAAATCTATCTGACAATGAAGCTGACAGTGTTTATAATCGTGGTAAGTACTAAAATGGTTTCATTACTTCGTCCAACATAAAAAGAAAAATGACACGTAGCAATACATAAACAGTAAATAAAAACGGCATATAAAAGACGAGATAATGAGCAGTAGACATTATGAATTTTAACGAGTTTTGTTATACTAGATGATTGACTCTTTTAAAGTTAAAAGAAGATTTTTAGTTTTATTCACATGAGTATATGCTAATTAACTAGTCAGTAAGAATTCTTCTTAAGCTCTAGGATGTTAATTTAAATAACTAAGAGATTAAAATTTTACTAATGTTTAATAATTAAAATATATTTTGGAAAATTCTTCTTCTAGTTATCGTTCGGTTACTGTTTTAATCAATATATCGGAAGAAGGAGGTTTGATTATAATCCTTTGACACGTCGTACGTCTTCCAGAGCCAGATGTAAGTTTTAATGACATTAATTTTGTATGTTATTATATGATGTGATGAATATGTATCGTGTTTTATTCTATACATGTTTGTTTATTCTGTTAAGTGGATTAAACGTGATTCATTTTTTTTAACTCGCATCATTTGTTGTTGAATTATTATTATTATTATACAACACTACACTTTTTATACATGTCTAGATTTATGAAGTTGTTCAAGAGATATGACTATGCATATATTTAGGCGATGAATTTTAAGAATTAATTACTGTATATTGTTAATGTATACTTGCTAACTCTTATTCGGATCCAGTGTAATATTTACTGACAGATTTTAAAACTTTTACAGAAATTATTACTAGAATTTTATATACTTTTATAATATAATTCATAATTTTATTAATTATTATAATGTATATAAATTAATAATTAATACACTTGAACCTGCAGTAACGGCTACCTCCATTTTTTTTAAATACTAATGCATACAAACGACGTTTTGACCGTATTTCATTAGAATTAGGCTTTAAAATATGTTACTTTTTAAGTGTTTAAAATGATAAAATATAATTAATGACTTTTTATCGTTACTTTCCGAACTATAAAATATAAATTTTGCTTAATTTTATTCTTTCAAACCGATCAAATTTTACAAAACCCTATCAGAACTTCACAGCTTGAAGTACAGTACAGTACGTATACACTCGCAGATACGACATGTTTATTAAGGGATATAGGGAATATTTAGTAAATAATTACATTATTCTATTAAAGTAACTGAAAAATATTACTTTAGATAATATTTTCAGGCTTTTGCATTGAATATAAAGTATAGAATATTCACTAAAAGCCTGTGGTTAAAAGACACCGAAAAAATTCCTCTACTCTATACTGTGGCTTACTTACTGAATAAAATTTATACTAAAAAAAATTCGCCTTAAAAAAATCTAAAATTACATTTTATTAATGAATAATTCAATATTAATTAAATATTTCTTATCATTTGGTTAAGGGAATCATCCTCCCGGATCACCCCCAAAAGCAAAATTGTATTTATGCCACTGACTCTATAGGTTATATTATTTAAATATAAAAGTGTTAATATATTATTATAAAATTTGATTATGTAGAAGAACTAAATCGGTTAACATTCAGGTATATCAAAATTTATTTATTGTTTTCAGACAGATAATATTTCCTGTTAATTCTATACTCGTTGTATGTTTTTCTATCATTCAAACATATATATACAGTAAAGGTTGAATAACATTTGTGTTTATAACACTGTTACCGATTGTTGTATATTTTTTCAGTGTCGTTAACGTGTGGAGAATTCATGACAGTGAAAATAGACTTTGCATACCCCTTTCGAGGTCTGGCTTATGTTGGAAAAGGTCATAATAAATGTGTACTTAGAGGAGATGGAAAGAGAGCTTACACTATGAGAATTCCACTTAACGATTGTGGGACTAAACAAAACGTAAATATAAATTTTATATTAAATAAAATGGCCTTTTATAATGGAAGTCACATTCTATAAATTTAAAAATTAAATAGATTTAGTATTAATTACATAATTACAACTTTGATAAATTTGTAATTATGGTTTTGCAGTGTCCGCCAGGAAGCTTTACAAACTTATTATCCATTCAATACGAGCCAAATTTAACAAGAGGGGAGGACGAATCACACTCGATTCGTTGTAAATACGGCATTCCACGACGTTACTATTGAATTATTAATTCAATTTATTGGAATCGTATAAATTTAATCCATAGTAATATTAATAATTGATTAAAAATATTGTAATTCTTGTAATTCCGCACGCTTGATGACGTAATAAATCTACTAAGGTGATGAAGTTTATAATGTAAACTAACTTAAATAAAGCTATTTAAAGTTTCAATGGTTTCAATACATAAATGTTTCCTCGGATTATCGACAGATGGCGTTAGATGCTGTTTGAAAAATTTTTAAATTTTTTTTCAAATTTTACCTTTTAAATTATTTATAATACATATTATAAATGTAAATCTTCTTAGAAAATTATATATTTTATATTACTTTAATGTATATATTTTATATTCATTTCATTATCAAATTATGAAAACTTCTGGCACCATAAGGAAAATCTTGTCGACCTTGAATCTCTACCCTGTATAACCATAATTTCGGTGACAAAATAATTATTTCCTCTCTATTCTAAACTGCCGAACTATCACAACCGGATTTACGGTTAAGCACCATAAAAAAAAAAAACACTGAATATTATTTCCGAGGATGTGCATCGTTACCTTGAACACTCCGTTATAAAGGTAACTGTGTCTGATAATTTCACCTACGCAACTGTTGTCTACCTCTAGCAGATGTTTTTCTCTCTTCACAAATGTTTTAAAGTATTTTAAACTTTCACCTGTTCCACTTTGTGTGATTTTTATAAAGAATTTACATCCTTCTATGCACATTTACTGCTCCCTGTACACTTCAACGAGTTGGCTTTTTAAGAGACCTGGCGTGAATTATTATATATACACCAACGCCCTTTATATAATTTATTGTATTTACAGGTTACTAAATAACTAGAATACACTTTCACGTTCTTAAGTAAACCATAAAGTTCACTGGCGAATTGTATTGTATTCGGTTCGTAGATTTTTTTCAACTATTCATTTGGGTAATTCTTTGTGTTTGCCAATGTTAAAACATCTCATCATAGGGCACTGAGTTATATGAATAGAAGAAGCGCAGTCATAATTAAAGATATTCTAGACGTTTCGTACTTTATAATTATCGAAGAAAATTGAAGGCTTTGATTAATTCGGGCGTTGTTTTGACTGTCAGTAAAAATCCGCCTACTTGGACAATTGTTAATGATGTGACCTTGCCTAAAAAGATATGGATAAAATTCGAGACAAGGTTAAGACAGTTACTAACTGGTTTGAAGGCTCCCGAACTCTTTTCTTTTTTTTTCAACCATTTACAGTATCAATACTGGTTTACCCTAGTGAAAAATTCATATATTTAAGTTTCCCTACAGCGCAATTCGCTGTAAAATTAATTATGAAATGCAGCTGGTGATTCAACACATTTTTTTTCAGACGTGGAGACGAATTTTAAACGATTTATAACGAAAAAAATAAAAATATGTCCTCGTTAATTGACGAACGGAAAATAAACTTAAAAAAAAAAATTTGTTGTATTATTTTCTGACAATATAAGATTGTCATCACGACTTTCTTTGATCTCACATAATCCTATACGATCAGCGTTAATATCTTGATCATATAAAAAAACAATTGATTGGATATCCTGAAAAAAAAACCGGGATAACCATTCTTTGGTTTGTATATCACGTACATTCTGACGAAATTTTTTGTGAGATTAACACAAGTTCTGTCTCATTAATGGAAATTTGTGACGAGATTTCCACAAAAACTATCTCAGATTTCCTGTGTTGTCATCATTTATATATAACTTATACACTCCTATATTAAAACTTGTTTGGTGTATATCTCGTCGTCCTTCGATATGGGATACGTTTATTTAATAAAAAATATTTTATGCGAATCTCCCATTTTTAATTGCTTAAATTCGTCTTTAAAATAACTTATTTATATTTAAATTTAAATGTATTTTGACCTATATTTTTCGGAAATTTAATTCTCCCTAATGGAAATTAGAACCGGTATATGGTTTTAAAATCTCTTTTGTTATCATTTAAAAAATAAAAATAAAAATGAAAAAAAAATATGTGAAAGTTCCAGTTGAAGTTTTTATGTTTTTTTTACTTATTTAAAGGAAATTAGTTCAGAGAAAGAAATAAAATTTCTTGCTAATGTAATTNAATAAAAAAAATTTAAAAAAAAAAAGATAATTCTGTAACGGTTTTAAGACGTGTAAAATTTACTCTTTACACGCCATATGCTTTCCTATTAAGAACACATGGAGTTTGCGGTTATTTCAAACGATTATTTAAACTGTGTTCTTATTGGCGGAAAGTGCATCATTTAAGCAATTTCTTAGTTTAAAAAAAATTATCTGGTGATGTTTAATCTGAATAACATTGTTCAACATTTCTTTGTCGAGTAATGATAATTTTGTATAATTTTCCTTAAAATGCCACACCTGTTACTTCTAGTGAATACTGTACTTTACCAAACCCGAAATTATACCTCATAAACAAGAGGGTTTGTCATATAACAATCGAGGAAGGACCATTGTCTTCTCCAAATCTTCCAAACGAGCTTACAGAGGTTTCGGAATTTGACCTTTCTAAATAAAGAAAAGGGGGTAAGGCTATATATATATATATATATATATACATACACGGCTAAATTCTTCATCGTTCCATTATAAATTCCTTAGTGTTTTTTTTCCCTCCCTAAACAATTTTTTTTAAGGTGAAATAATGAAAAGAGGGAAAAAGAAAGAAAAATATTTTAAATAGTTGCTTTTGATAGGGAAAAATAGTTTTAAAAGATTTCCAAGCGAAACAGAAAGGAAAAATGATTGAAAAACAGAATGAATATGCTAGAAAAATGATTGAAAATGTAGATAATAAATGGAGAATAGAAGTGATATTGGTAGAAAAATGCGCTCGGTTATGGAAGAAAAAAAAAATAATAAAAAAAAATATATATATATATATATAAAGAGCCATAAACTGTTGAAAGAGATAGATTTGAAAATAATAGAAAGTCGTCAGATGATTTTAAAAATGTTGAAAAAATATGACTTGGGAGAAAAATGATAATTGAAATTGATGGAAGTGAAAAGTTTAATAATACGAATGCAATGATATTAAATTTAATTGTTAAAACAGAAGATTTTGAAACGTTTGTAGACGTTAAGAGAAGAATAATGTCCATAAATTGATGTAGAAGAATGTGTAAGTGATAGCATAAATATTAAAATATAAGAGGGGGAAAAAATTTATAAAATAATTTTTAAATTGTAGGAATAGAACTGAAATGAATAGAAAAGAGAATAACTGAGGAAAAAAAAATTAATAGTTGGAAATGGAGGAAAGTTGACTCTGTAAATATATATAAAAAAAAATAGCACGAAATGTGAAAAATATGGTCAAATTTATAGATAATAAATGAAAAAGTAAAGTAAAAAAGTGGGGAAAATAGAGAAATAATACAGAATAAAGGAAGGAAAAAAAAACGTATTTGTTGGAAGTTAAAAAAATAACAACAACAACAAAAACAACAACAACAACAAAAAAGAAAGGAAAAGCGCGATAAAACGATTGAAAAGAAAGGAAAAAGAAAACAGTAGAAAGAATTTTGAAAAATTGAATATTCAAATGAAAATATCGAAAAAGAAAACAAAACAAATTTATTTATTTAAAAAAAATTTATAAATCGAAATAATTTATCATTGAACACAAGCAAAACTGAATGAAAAATTCATTTAAAACGTCATCAAAATAAAATTTATAACGAAAATTTTCCACCATTTTTTTAAAGTTTCAATGG